ATAACCGCTGGACGGATTTCCCTGATTTTTGAACTGGGAGTACCTGTATGCATACACATCAGACTCCGGTACTTGCGCTAGCCATACAGTACGTTCCCACGGTAAGCGCCACACTTCTCTGTTTTCTGGTTCCCCCACCTTGGTCAGGGTGCCAGGATCCACCGCTCCAGGTACAGCTATGCGCAGCTGGATTTGGGGTCTTACATGTGATATGTAGCTGCTGTATGTAGCACATAGCCATAGGCGTCATAGGTATAGTACAGTGCCATCACCCACTCCTCCTACCTTCCCCCCTCCCAAATTTGGTCCACCTTGCAGGCCCTATGCTAGATATTACCGATTCAAGTACTGCAGGACATATCCGGCACTATATCCGACACTTTGGGCTATCCAGCCCACCCATGCAATCTCTGGTACTGGTAGAATGGGCCAAATAGATTATATTTGCGTTTTTTAGGTGATTTATTTATATTTTATTTACAGTACATAGTATACATCAATGGAATCAGCTCAATGAGGCGAGAAGAATGGTGTGGTTTATATGGTGGGGGGTGGGGGAGGTGGGGAGAGACAGGGGTAAGAATGGGATGCATGGGATGTGAGCTTAGACCAAAGCACTCGCGAGTTGAGGCTTGCCCGAGCCTCACCTCAGGTTCACTTCCTCCCACTCCTACCCCTGTCTCTCCCCACCTCCCCCACCCCCCACCATATAAACTACACCATTCTTCTCGCCTAATTGAGACGATTCTAATGATGTATAGTATGTCCTGTAAATAAAATGTAAATAAATCACCGAAAAAACGCAAATAAAATGTATTTGGCCCATCCTACCAGTACCAGAGGTTGCATGGGTGGCCTGGATGGTCCAAGATATCGAGTATAGTGCCGGATATGTTCTGCAGTACTTGGACTGGCAATATATAGCACAGGGACAGCAGGGTGGAGCACATTTGGTAGGGGGGAAGGCAGAATAGAATGAGAAGGGTGCTGTACTGTACCTATGATAGCTGTGGCTATGCGCCACATACAGTAGCTACATATCACATGTGAGACCCCAAATCCAGCTGCGCATAGCTGTACCTGTAGTGGTAGGATCCTGGCACCCTGACCAAGGTGGGGGAACCAGAAAACAGAGAAGTGTGGCGCTTACCGTGGGAACGTACTGTATGGCTAGCGCAAGTACCAGAGTCTGATGTGTATGCATACAGGTACTCCCAGTTCAAAAATCAGGAAAATCCGTCCAGCGGATATAGAGTACTGGGTACCTGCTCCTGGTCCCTGAGCCCCCATCAGTAATCTGCCAATTGCAGAGCTAGTTTCTCACGGATAACAAAGATAAGTACTGATCTAGAATGCTGATTTCCTACGCTATTGACTCACCGTGGCGATTAGCTATACCTGTACTGGATCTACCAGTACTGCTGATGAGCTGGCAATCAAAAAAGCGTAAATAAATTGTGGGCCCTGTAGGGGCTGCTACAGTGTATAGATAGTACCTATGGGTATACTCACACTAGTAATTTACTATACAGTACCTACAGGGGAGCCAGGGGCAGGGAATACAGTAGGGGGGGAAGCCAGGCCAGCTAGCAGGTGATTGATGGCTGATTAGAGTAAATGAAATGTGGGTGTGGGTGTGGGTCCAGGGTTGTGGGTCCAAGGGCAACCCCGATCAGCCCAGGAGATGATGTCACACCCCAGATTGATCTACATCTACATCTACAAAACA